TTATTTGAAAATTATATATCATTCAATTTCTAGTGATTCATTATAATTCCTACTTAAAGAATAGAACTCTTCCAAATTTAAAACGATAATTCCTCAATTATTTCTCTGCGACAGCAACACGCCTGGTACCAGCTAATTATTTATATTCAATTTTATGATGTTGTTAACATAATAATTACGCCTACCTTTTTAATATCTATCGTCTATCTTTGATCTTCCTTGCTTATGTTTGCCTGGTCCATAAAGTTGCAATTGTTTAAGTCAGTGGATTGCGCTACGTTGCTTGTCCGTTTCCACTTCAGTTTTGAAGTGATGTAGTGTTGATACCCCAGTATTCATATTTGACTGCCTCGTTGGTCTAGTGGTTGTATGCGCGACCAATGTCCCGGGTTCGAATCCCGGGTCGCGGCAGTAAAATCAGCGCCTTGGAAAGCACGTAAAGCGGTTGGCCCAGCGCCTGATCTCTCTCCGGTCGTTTCGCTTTACCGTTCCATCGGACTATGAGAGTGTGGGAATAGAGAGTGCACGTGTGCTTGCGCATACACTTGTGCACTATAATCCTATCCTGGGCCGATGGCTAGTCTCCGTTAAGGCTGGCCGCCGTGACGGAAATTTGGTTTGGAGGACATTATCACCATAGTATTTTATATTAAGACCGGTCACACAAAACGCAGCAAGTCCCGCCACACACGTATGGTATTTTTCCGTACGGAATTTTCTCCGATTCGAGATTACTTATGACCGCCTGGGCGTTCGGAACCCCGAACGGAAAAAAGCCGCTCCGAACGAAAGTCTTCCATAGATTTTGTATGAGTCGCACCACACATTCATAAATTAGGTGCGGCCTAAATCTTAGTTTTTTGTTTGCGACACTTCGGCCCATTGCACGCTGAAAGTTTATATATAATAGTGTGATTCCAGAATTTATTTTATTATAGCAATGTGTCCGTCAATTTCATCTACGTTTATTTACATTTTAAAAGATCTTCATTTACTAAGTACGTAAACTTACTTGATAATAAGCCCTGGGAATAAGGTAGTCGTTTTCAAGGTGTTTCTAAAATAGACGTTATATCATATAATCATAAAAACTTTATATTAATTATTAATTTAATAATTAATAATCCACTGGAAGTTGACTAACAAAAACAGTGGGATGTTCCGTTGGTACGGAGTGTACAGATTTGTTTCATAATTTCCGTAGTGACCAAGATAAAACCCGCCTTCTACCTGTTTTGAATAAGGAATCTAGTCACTGGTTACACGCTTTACCATCAAGTAATCTCGGCGTATTACTTGATGGGGAAAGCTTTGCGCATCACCGTAGGAATCTGACTAGAGCCCTTCGGATGACATTAGTCATCCGAAGGGCTCTTGTCTGTATAAATGTCCCCTCGATTTTAGAGCCTTGTGGAATATTTAGAGACGATTGTAGGAAACTCGACGGTATGATATTGGTCACTTTGGAGAGGGGTAAAGCCCTAGTGTGGGATGCTACTTGCGTAGACACTTTGCCTCTCATCTCAGGGTGCCTCGTTTAGAGCCGGGGCGGCATCAGAGGCAGCTGAACTAAGTAAGTGGTGCAAATATGAGTCTCTGAGAGATGACTACATATTTGTGCCATTTGGTGTAGAAACTATCGGTCCGTGGCGTCCACGTGTAGTGAAGTTCCTAAAGGAACTGTATCCATGACTGGTCGTTGCTGCTGGTGATAAGAGGGCTGGTTCTTTTCTCGTCCAAAGGCTAAGTAAAGCCATTCAGCGGGGAAACGCAACCAGCGTTCTTAGCATGATACCACGGGGAGTAGGACTGTATGATAAGTAAATTATTACTTTTAGTTTTTTATTATAGTTTTTATTAAGAATTGTATATATTATTTGTAATAAAATTTAATAGTAATAAAAACTTTACTAACATAAATTACATTTCTTTGCAATGAACTTCTTTACAATATGCTCATAATAATCTTTACGAATCATTAGTTGCTTACTTGGGTTTGTTACTGCCGACTGTGCTAGGCCGAGCTTGCATTACTGTCGGCAGTTCCTTCCTCTGTGATACAAAAGAATATAAAATCACCGAATTGAGCTTAATATATTTAGTTAAAAAACCACAATAATAGTAATGACATTAGAAAGTTAGTTTTATACTGAAGCTAATTACACATATTAATTGCGCAACCAGTTTTATTGTAAAATGTTGTCGTTGTCATAGTTAAGAGGGTGGCACTTATCCAGACGGACTTTAAGCAGAAAAAGAATCATAGCGCTTGGTAGAACCTGCAAATTTAATTTCATTAAACAATCGTTAAGTTTTTATTTTTTAGATATTTTGTGACATTCTTTTTTTGGTTTTATTCAGGGATCTTATATATAGATAGTATTGCATTTATTATATTTATTACTGGCTATTCGCTGTGACTTCGTTACGAATTTATTACGATAAGATTTCATGGGTTTTAATCCTTATCTTTTTTCTAAAATAAAAGTGACCTAACTTACTCCTTACAACATCAGCTCCCACCAGCAACAGTTAAACAGTCCAGCCATTACAGAGATTAGCCGGAACAAACAGACAGACAAAAATTTATAAAAATTGTTTTTTTTCTTATAAGTACCGTATATAATTTCATATGCATTTAGTAAAAAGCTGTTATTTTGACATTACATACAGACACTTCAAGTTTTCTTTATTTGTGCAGTGAAGAATTGGATAGTGCGCATCACTGCCAGATAAAAATTGTAGACTCGAGGTATCACTGAAAAATAACGAGCCACATTTCATAATCTATTATAAGAGTGATATAAAACTAACAAAAAATTAAATACTAAATGGTTTGTTTTGTTCTTAAAAAATGTTACTCCCACATTATTATTTCCTGCTATATCGTGGATGTGGCTAGCATACATAAATTACGGAATTAGGACACACATCTACACCTAGAACAATAATTATTTGTAGGCCATACAAACCAATTCGTACTTGAGGTCGCCGCGACCACACAGCCACAGCACTATGAAGCGTAAATATTAAATTACGCAATGATCATATTGCGTAATGTAATAAATATTACATTACGCTAATGTAATAAATATTACATTACGCTCCGTTATAAAATGCAAAGAATACCAACTATTCGTGACGTTTTATATTTACGCGAATACAACACATTTAATAAATCTAATTTCACGGATTTTAATGCGTTTAGCGACTTCAAAAATGTGGAGCTACTCAATTCGACTGTATGTTTTTTTTAATGTGTGGTTACCTCATAACTTTTTCTAGGTGTACCGATTTCGATGATTCTTTTTTATTTGAAAGCTAGTGCTTCTAATGTGGTCCCATATAAATTTGGTCAAGGTCTGACCAAATAGTTTTTGAGTTATCCTTAATAATTTATATTTTAACAGTGGTAGAGCCACGCGCAGCTTTCGCTGTCGCACGGATGGGCCGGCTTAACAGTGGTAGAGCCACGCGCAGCTTTCGCTGTCGCACGGATGGGCCGGCTCGATCCGGGGTGGTACCACGACCTCACAGAATACCAGCGTGAAGTAGAGGTTTACCTCTGCGTTTCGCTTGGTGAGTGCAGGTGGCCGGAGGCCCTTTTTACTGGAAATGAGGCATTCCATCTTAGTCCTCACGGGTGACAACGCATCTGCATTTTGATTCGCAAGCGAGGATAGATGTAGATGTCTATGGGCCGCAGCAACCACTTACCATCAGGTGGACTGTGTGCTCGTTTGTCACCCTTGTCTTATAAAAAAAAAAAAAATTGAAGTCGGTTGTACAAAATTTTTAATTTTAAATTATCAGCTAAGTGTCCGTCTTGGTAGGCACCACCCTTGTAGTTATTTTTGCAGCCACTTCGTGCGTGCGTGCACTGCTGTGTTCCATTATTTAGGTTACACATTATTTAAGTTAGATGGTTCCTCCTGCATTCTTGGTAATATCAAATGCCCACCACTGTACAGCCGTAAACTACTAGCGTGTTGGACTCCTTTGAAGGTTATAGAGATCCATTATAATGAAGTACACGCTATAAACCATTCGATTATTCCCTCAACAGTCAAAACATCCATCCCGGCTGTGTGTCAAATATCTATTGTCAGTAACTGTCATTCATTGCGGCGATTCAATTCCCGCCATTTTCCGTCACTTTAGTATTGTTTAATTAACGATGTAATAATATATAAATTTAGATGAGAAAAACACATGTATTATATTTTATTGTATAAACCATAACATTATATTCATATATTTAAAGAAAACACGAAGTTAAGCAAATTATTTCTCCCGAGCAGTAAATACAAGTGGCAATGGTTGCAACATGTTAAGAAATGATGCCATCTTGAAAGATACAGTTGAAGGGTTAGAATTCTCAGAGGTTAGTCTCAAAGAGGGCAAACGAGCATGCGGCTCGCCTGACGGTAAGTGTCTACCGCCGCCCGGAATTGCAGATGCATTGCCAGCCTTTTAAAAAAGAGGCTCTTTTTTTGAAGCTCCCTAAGTCCCATCGGTTGAATTTGGTTGAAGTTGGCCATGGGCTGCAACCTCTTCGTTTTAAATACGCATATGACTAAAATTTTTAAACAAGAAATTAACTTCTAATTCTTTACGTTTCGTATGATATGCAGCACCCATAGGCACGGTGAACTGAAGGTATTTGACGTCAAGATGTCTTAGTTAATTCAGGCTTAACTTTTAAATATTCTATTGTACTCTGTTATTATAAATATTCTTTTAAATTATGCATATTGTTGGGGCCAAAATTATTTAGAAGCTGAAGGTCAACTGGGTTAATTATGTCATCAGAGTACCTAATGAATATTGTAAGGAACGGTTATATTAAACGCGAACAAATCCGTAAAATTTGGTATATATCCGTAAATGAAATTATAAATCATCGCTGATATAAAAATAAATGTTATAATAACGAAAATTTGCAATGACTTACTAAATATAGTTGCTACAATATTTTGTAATGAATATTTCTCTTTCAGATGCCTCATACAAGAGTACTTGGTCCACACATGCAACGTCACAGGGTTCACAAGGTAAGTTAACACATTATTATTACGTATTACGCAATTATTCAATATTTATGATAAGGGAGCCATAACACGGAAAATAAATGCTCGTTTTGAATTATACAGTACACAAGTTCGTTTCTCAACAACACCAATAAAATCGTTAGTTGCAATTTGAAGTATTTACCATGTGTTAGGCGGTAAAGGAAACCAAAGTGTGTATTCTATCGTCTTTTCTGCTCTAGGCTAGAAAACCTCATATTGAAGCTGTATTTGATTAATAATATGACCTGTATCATCATCATCATCATTATCATCATCATTATTGCCCGCTGCTGAATATAGGCCTCCCCAGGAACATCACAAACACGTAAGACACGTACGTGCGCACATAAGTGCTGCAGAAAGTCAATGGATGTATGATGAAAAGTCAGTTGAAGAAATAAATATATAGTTTTTCAATTTTATTTCATATCACCATTATATCTTTTGTTAAAAAATATATTATGTCTAATCGTAAATCATTACGGCACTAACGTACGAGTAGCTTCATTCGCGACTATAAAGTATGCGAAGCGATACTCTATAGTAGTTGAATGAGAAAATTGCGAATGAAACTGGTCAGAATTATTGTGCAATCGTCAAAATCAGTTCAAGGTTCTGCCGCAGCTAACTACTGCATTAGCCGTTTCTTTTCAGATTAAAATATTTGACTAAATCCGGCCTTTTTCAACCGACTTCAAAAAGGAGGAGGTATGTTTTTCTTATGTATTACCTCATAACTATTCTCGGCGAACCGATTTTGATGAATCTTTCTTTAATTGAAAGCTGGTGCTTGTCATGTGGTACCATATAAATTTGATCAACGTCTGACCAGTAGTTTTTGAATTATCCTTAATAATTTATATTAAAGTCGGTTTTATATTTTTTTATCACTTGTTATCTTTCGTACTGACTAGAAATTATGTGCAATTTAACAACTTCCAAATAGAACTAGATGGAATGACGACCTGGAAGGAATAAGACACGCAGGAACCCGATAGATGCAGGTGGCTCAGGACCGTGCTTTGTGTCATTCCTAGGTCTTCCCCTATGTTTAGCAGTGGACTTGCGTGCTCTAATGATGATTATAAATACTAATAAAACACATAAAATTGTGAACAAAATCCGATTCAAATAGTAATTAATAATAAATTACTACAAATTATTCTATGCGAACGAAGTTGCTAGCACATCTACTTAGTTAATAAAATAAATAAAGTCAAAAGTCAAAAAAGACAGGAAGCGCGTCATTTCAATTCAATTCTTTTTTTTTTTATAATTATCTAATTTATAATAATATCCTTTCTTTATAAGAATACATTTTCGGGCGCTTTGTATTTTTTGCACAAGAAAATTGCAGTTTTTAAAGCCTGTACTTCGATGCAGCATGTTTATATCACATAGCTAATTTCGGAAGATATAAGATATCGCCGCAATTAAATTCGAACAAGAAACCTCACCCAATTCTCGTATCGTACTCGTATATGTATATAGATATTTTTCACCTTACACCAAACTGTACACTTATTTAATGTCGGAAAATCAAAACAATGGACCCCTAAAATGGCGCACGCGTACGTCGCGCAGGCAATGTACGCGCGGCGGACACGCGCCGCTCCCGTCTCGACAATGCAAACTTAATTCTTTGATTGACAGTTACAATATTTCGGTAAGTGATGCAATATTTTGATGATTATCGTTATATAGCGTTACGGCTTCGCGAGGGAGCATTATCGCTTCGCACGCTTCGCTGCCGCGTCCCATTGTGACTTGTCCCTTCGCTCGGCTTTCATTTGTCCAACGCGAAATTGTTATAATAAATAGTGTTGTTAATTTGTACAGTAGGAACATAGGTATTAGAACATTCAAATTCGCTATATTACTAATTTTTGAAATTTTATAAAGCATTCCCAACTCAGTGGTAGAACAATCCGTAAAATCATCATCATTACAGCCTTTCAAAAGTCCACTAAGCATAGGCCACCCCATAAAGTCCCTCATAGTGGAGGATATTTGTCGTATAGTTAGCGTTAGAGGGGATTTTGCTATAGTTGCCAAGCTTGGTAGGCGGGTTGGCAACTGCAGTTTTTTTATTTTCATGATGTTATTACGAAGATGCTGCTGCTCCATCTCCTGGTCTGTTTCCCTTTTACAATAACCCACGGAATGATATGGGGTAGCAGAAATAATTACACATTACTACATGGTTTAAATCAAACTAACTATATTCTAACATATAAAATATTCATTTTTGATTGTTCGTATTTTATGTGCTGCCATACCGTTCAACAGATTGCGCTAAAAAATTGTCAACTTATTGCTTGCACTTGCGCGAAGGTTATAGGCATATTACAACTGACTTACAATAGGTGGCGCGCGTATCGTACCGACAAATTTATTTGAAAGTTATTCCTAACTAAATAATATAACTCTTCTAAATTTAAAGCTCGACAAATATTTTATCTGTGGCAGCAACGCGCCGAATACCAGCTAGTTTATTGTAAATAAAATAAGGGTGGCAAAGGAGCACACAGTCCACCTGATGGTAAATAGTTACTGTGGCCCATAGACATCTACATCTATTCTCAATAATTAAGAATCAAAATCCAGATGCGACATTTATCCTTGATGACTAATATGGAATGCCGCGTTCCCAGTGTCACCCTTATTTGAATTTAAAAAAAAAGGAAATTCTAGAATACATTCATTATTCTAAAAGAGTATCAAAAGGTCGTCGTAAGCCATAACTTATGTTTAATATACCGTTGACAGACAATAGTTAAACAAAATATAATTCATGATCGGTCCCAGGAGAACGGCGCCGCGTCGGCCCGTGACGACTTGCTGCCCCCGGACAATAGTTACAAACGATTTGCCCGCGCCCTGGGGGACTATTAAAATCGCTGCGATTATAGACGTATTCTGTGTGCGCATCAGTCCCATTTTGCCGGTACGCGTGCAGACTGCAGAATTTAATTTGAGTGTTTCTAACGTGAATATGATTTTTTATAATGTTGTTAATTCTCAGATCAACAAGTTCAACGCGTTATAGCACGCATTTCTTATGCATATTAAAGTTGACAAAGGAGCACTCAGTCCACCCGATGGTAAGGGTAAAAAATGCTCTTTCGGCGTAATATGCATACGCTCTGTTTATACTAACTGACGGAATTCTCATCTAGGGCAACAGTACTGACATAGATAAAATTTTCATATTTTATGAAGAAATTAGTCATTCTTAAATGATAAATGTTATTATTATTTATATGAACTTTAAAGATGTGAATAAATAGCAAATGTTTGTATAATAATAATAGTAAATTAATAGAATTAGAAGAGTTAGAACCAGTAATATTAAGAAATATGTTAGTTGGTATTAAGTAGTAGTTAATATTTAGTATTTAGAATAAAAACTGAAAAAAGTTCTCGAGTGGCGGCCTCGTACCGGCGGCGGACGAAGTGTTGGGCGTCGCCCCACTAGATGGAGTGAAGTCCTGGTATGACATGCAGGAAGTCGATGGATGCAGGTGGCTCAGGACCGTAGTTTGTGGCCTTCCTTGGGGGAGGCCTATGTTCAGCAGGGGACTTGTGAAGAGTTGTAATGATGATGCTGATTTTGAATAAAAATTACCCTCTTTTAAATTGCTAAGTATGGGGCGTCACTTATAATAAGTATATTATATCATATTAAGTATAATATTTTTGTGACATGCAAATTTTAATAAATAAATAAAATAATAGATTCAACCATATTTTAATCTGTATTCTTTGCTACTACTCGTTCTTTAATGTCAGCTTACTTCACATTTAGCTTTCATTTAAAAACATAAAAACATATTTATTATGTTCAACTTTTAAAAACTAACATTATGGGTAATAAAATCTGTTTACACGTCTTCCAAAAACGCTAACTATTTTTATGTGCAAGATACATTTGAAAAAAAAACAGCCTTAATAATTCTATCCTACTAATATTATAAATATGAAAGTTTGTAAGGATGTATAGATGTTTGTTACTCTTTCACGCAAAAACTACTGAATGGATTTTAATGTAACTTTACATAATATGGCTCATACATCAAAATAACATATAAGCTATTGCACTACATTATATTCATAAAAATATTGTGTGAATTGGCCTAAATATATCGATAGGTATTAAGTAAGTCTGAAAAAAAAACCTGTCATCTGCGAGATATTTTGGAGTGAACACGCGTCACGCAAAAACCTGTGAACCGACTTGGATAAGACTTACACTGGCAGATAGCTGATGTTATAAGGAGTAACTTAGGCTACCTTTATTTCAGGGTTCCGCGCAAAAATATTCCACGCGGGCAAAGTCGCGGGGAACAGCTAGTCTCTATATAAAAAAATCAATTTACTGTCCGCTATCTTGCAAAAACTAGAAAACGGATGAAGCGATTTTTATGATGTATTATATATTAGCATAGTTTAGATTCATAATTGGACCCGGTAGGTCGCGCTTTTATCGAGATCCAGAATTCATCCGTGGGAAGTCGAGGCGGATCGCTAGTTTTAAATATTTAACTACTCTAAAGCCTATAGGAGTTCATTTTAATATTGATAACAATAAACATAATATAGCACTATGCTTCAAAAATTAAATGATTTTAAAAATAGCTTCTAAAGTCGAAAAAATAAATGTAAAAATGAACATTGAAACAGGTAATATTACTTGGAAAACAGTATTTTATTAAAACATTAAACATTCTTGTAAAACAAAATACTTTAATTAAATACTTAAAATTCAAAATTTAGGATTTCTGTACCTAAATTATCGTGTTATCGAATAATCTCAAAATACGCCCCCAGAACGTACACCCTCGCTCTATGACCCCTGCGACTTTCAAAATGGCCTATAAATAATCAAGCTACAACTTTATTCAAACTTAACGACATTAATTAACAAAGATTTGTTAGGTGACGCCCATAATGAATTTTCTCCGCAGTAGGTGTACTTTCGA